AACCAAGCAAAAGTCAAAACAGCGACGTTAAAAGCGGAAAGAACACCTGTGGTTTTTTAATATATTTTCTGTAATTTCTATACCTTTAACAGATAAATTAAGTTTGACACAAAGTTTATAATACGCAGAAGGAAAAGTCGGATACTCTATAATCTCTCTATAATTAAGTATGTCTGACTGTCCTCAGTTTTTCAGATATCGATTAGAAATTTTGCTTGTGGCCTCTACTCCTGCCACTGTGTTATACACAAACCGAGGGATCAAAATAAAGTCCATATATGCAAAAGGTATCTTTTGGAATTATTGTCGAAGACAATAATACACTATTCAAACATAACGGATGTCGAAACGGCTATCAACGAGGCTGGAGGACTGTCCCTTAGACAACACGGCTTTAGGCCTGGGCGATCAACAGTAAAAGCTATAAAATACGTCATTGAAAGCTTAGAAACCTCAAACGTAAATGCCATAATTACAAAAGAATTGTGTTGCTGGCGACTTAAGATTTCCGATTTTCAACAGCGCTAGATGGGTGGATATGGCCAACGCTCACACACCCCTGGAAGTAAGTATACAAACGACTACGGATATTCTTAACACATAAAAAACAGTAAACTACCTAGGCGTAAGACTGGACAATATAGAAAACCCCAGCCAAGAAAAGAGAAAGCAACAAATGTCGACGACAATCAGTGACCTATTATACAGAGCTGAGATCAGGGCAGATGTGCTTAAAAAGGGAAACCGACGTAAAGTAGTGGCCAGAGTGCACTGCACTGCAGGAATTTGAGTGCAGCAGCCTCCAGAACAGCGTCAGGCGATTCAATATTAGTTGTTACCATTACCGCTTATGCCCCAAGCTGTGGGAGCTAATGAAAATATAAGAATATAATATATAATAACAAGAGCGCAAATAAAGAAAAATACAATAAAAACATGGCAACAAAGATGGGAGAATGAGAGTCGCGGCAGATGGACGGCCAGACTAATATAAGATCTAGGCTTATGGACAAGCCGTAAATTCAAAGAAAACGATTTTGCACAACCCAGTTGTTATCCGATCATGGATATTTCAAAAAGTATCTCCGTAGAAGACATGGTTGGCTCAATAACCGCTGACAATTTAATCAGCATCACGCTGGAGACTGAAGCACACTGGGGGATTATTAAGATATACGCAGCAATATTGCTACGCATCAAAAATCGGGACCTGGACGCAGATACGCAGATATAAATCTTTCAATGAGAAAAATGGAACGCCACACTGATCGATCATAATCAAGATAAAGAACTTCGTATATCCTTTTATGTCAGATAAAATTATTATGAAGGGAATTATAGTTTCGGTATGTGTGCATTTATTGGGCGCTCGTCGCAGTTTTTATTGTTGTATTATTTTATTATTGTTTCATATATTCATTTGTTAGAGGATAGATTGCGACCACTCTGATAAAATTTCAAGGAGATAATACCGAGCAGAAAACTAGCGCGGGGCAACTATTAAGTTGCTTGCGGCGCTGAGAACTTGAAATATGTATGAAGCTATTTACGAACGATATAAAACTAAGATAGCGCTTTCAAGTTTCAGATTGCCAACAACGATGGTTATCAAGTGGGCGGTATGTAGGCGATTAGCACACTTGTAAATATATTCACACACAAACGCAAATGTATAAAAAATAAAAATAATTGCAAATGATCGCAAAGCTTTGGCATCGCGACGCTTAATTAGATATTAATTAGCTGGTGATAAACGTGTAAGGCACCAAAAAATTCAACAGCGGAAGTGCAAAATGCTGTGTTTCAAAGCCACAATTATAACAATACTTGTTTTTTTTTTTTTAAAAAGCACCAAAATCATATTGAAAATCACATAAAATCTGCTACTATATGATAATAACGAACATTTGTTTTGCTGATTTCACATTTTTCGCGTATCTTTACACCTGTGTGAAATTCCACACGGCAAATCATAATTTATGAGTCTGGCTAATGGGTTGATTTGCATTTATTATATATGTTAGAAGTACCATAAGCACATGTTTATGTGCGCGGTGGTTGTGTGGGTTCTTTATTCAATGCTTGCGTCCATGTGCTGATGGATCATTCATTAAGACCAGCCAAAGGGCTATGAGGCGCGCACAAAGCGAAATGCGCCAAATTGGATATGTCACTTGATCGATCGGTGCCATAAATGGCAAAATGATTAGATGTTATTGTGTACAACATTACGCGTATATACCGTTATGTAATAGCGTATGTAAATCTGTTGTTCGATAATGAAAGTGTCAAAGCTTATGACGAATTTCTGTCATATGTTAAATAACCTTGATGTGTTGCTTTGATTGAGTTTGGAACTATTTCACAAATAGTTATACTAAAGTAATGAATTATATAAAATGGTATGAAATTCAAATTTAGGTAATAGCAATAAATAGCCCATTTTTTACTGTGGAGGGTTTTTAATATGAATCAAAAATGTTTCTAAGGATAATGACTTTCGTTAGTTTTATTTTTGACTTCTTTGTTCATCTAGATTTCCAATATTTCGTTTATTTTTATAACTTTTTTACCAGAATAATAGCTACTTGCTTAGAAAATTATATAGTGAAATTGTCGGCCATTTGAAATATTAGCCGAAACCTATAACAAGTGTCTGAAAATTGTATGAAGCGTTGGCATACTTGACTCAGTAGTAAATTTTGAAGGATATAATAAAAAAATTATATTAAAATACGTGTAAATGTAGTTCTATTGTCAGCCCGCGTCAAATTTGATTGGATAGTATATGTACTATGTATGTTTTTCACTTAAATTGTTTTTTGATTATAAGCTTATATTTGAAAGAGAGATTTTTACGCTAATTAAATTTATTGTTTTTTCTTTAAGCCAATTAATATAGTTTGTTATTAGTTATGAATTTAGTTTATGTTTAATTTTTTTCTTTTATTTTCTTATTATTTGTTTGTTTAAATAAGTTTTTTT